GGCAGGGAGGGGGGGAGGAGGGGCAGCAATGGGTTCGTTCACCCCAGACGAGCGGGCGCCATTGTTGCCGCCACACTGGGGACGAGCCGAGCCAAGCGAAGTCATTTCCAATGCGAGCGTGCGTGGCAGCAGCGCCACAAACCTCCGCCTCGAGCCTGCGCATGTTTGATGCTGCCGATACATGCACGCACCGACGGGCAGAAAACCCTTTCTGTTTACGCGGTCACGAGTGCACGCACCTGCTCAGCAAGCATTCCCATAAACCCCGAGATGCCTCTGGGACCTTTGTTGATCAGGCCCTTGTCCCTGATGAGCCCGAAGCTGTCATTCCCCATTGCCACTGTCAGTATTAGGACGCTCGGCCGCGCCGTGTCCTCTGGAGTCACGCACGCGCGCGCGGCAGGCGGCGGCCGGCCCGCCTCCCAGCACCGCGCCAGCCGGTGCACCGTCATGCCGTTGGACTCCTCATCGCTGGAGCACCAAGCGTCGCTGCCAGCGCCTTGCATGTGCGCGGTCGCGGTGGCCGCGACAACGGGCTCGCCACCCGCAGACCACCTAGCTGCGCACGATGCGGGGCCGGCTGCGCCGGCGCTCTGTGAGCCTGCTGGCATGAAGTAGCGGGAGGCTGCCTTGCGGATGTCCAAGGCGCTATCTGCGTGATTATGATGACGAATCTGAGTAAGATGCAAGCCGTGATAGCCTGGGCCTGCTGAGAGGCCGGGCAACAGCGAAACCGCCTGCTGGCTTCCACAGGAGGGTCGGGAAGGGAAGTATGTGCTGGGACACATGCGCATGTTGACATGCACAATTCAGCCTCACAACGCAGCTTACCATTCTGTCGGTCAAGTACGAGCCACAGCACAAGCATGAAGGTGAGCCCATGCAAGCAGAAGCTGGCCGAGGGCAGCACGCCCAGGCGCGAGGCGCCCCATTGGTGTGCCAACGTCAGGCGCCCATCGTAGGCCTGCTGCGCTGCAGGCGAGCCCCTCTGCCTGAGATGCGAGCTTTCACTCTGCATCGGACGTCCAGAACGAAGCGGCAGCCCTCGAAGAGGCGTGCGCATGCCGACCGAGGCAAGGCGGCCTAAGAGGCGTGATACCGTCTCATGAAGAATTGCAGTACATTTTTATGGATCGTGATCGCGGAAAAGCGCGCCTCGAAGGCCCGAGCGAGTTGAGTTCAGGTTGTCCGAGGCTGGGTGGTTTCGGTCGGTCGTGTTCTGAGTGTTCCGAGGCTCAAATAAATTGAATCGTTTACCACAGGAATTGCAATTACAAATTGCATCGTATTTCATTTGTATTGCTGAATAAGGTGGCCATGGATCATGGCGGACACTTGGGTGTCAACCAACTACGGAAGCAGCACCGACGCTTCTTGTGCAGCGAATTGCGCCAGAGTAATTGTAAAAGTGTTGCCGCAATATGAAGTGGGGATTCAGTGTGCGTTGCAGCACATGGAGGCCCCTGCAGGGTTTGTATGCATGGGCCTGCACACACCAAGAGTTCAAAAGTGCGTTGCGTTTGCCTGCAGGGATCAGAAAAGCACATGGTGCGCGCGCGCGTGCGCACACACACACACACACACACACACACACACACACACACACGCACACACACACACCTATCGCCGTCGCTGTTCAGGCCATGGGTGGTCGTTCTCGACAGCATAACAGGCTTGGCTTCGACTACCGGAAACGCACAAGAAGCAGGTGAATGACAAGCACCCGCACCTCTGCCCTGAAGGGAGGCACCAACCACCGGACGGATTGCCATGCGTCTGATTATGCTGCCGAGCACCCACCAGCGCGGCCGCGCTTGCTGGCGGGCACGTGCCGGCTGGGTGGTGGGCAACCCGTCGGATTGGGGCATCAATGGGCAAAAACCCAACGCCCTTGTGGTGCTGTCATCGGTCGTGGGCGGACTGGTGGTAGGTGACAATCTTGGTAGCTAGCCAGCAGCTGCGCCCCATGCGTTTGGCCACGTAGCACAAGCCTGTCGGCGGCAGCGGCCATGGTGATAGCAATGCGCAAGTGCAGGGTGGGGAAACGGCGGTATTAGTCAGTAGTGACGAGCAGCCTTGCCTGGGCATGGAGTCAGACCTGCTAGTGGGTGCTCAGAAGCGGATGAGATGGCAGGCAGCCAGGCCACAACGGGGCTGCTCGCCGCTTGAATCCAAGCCAGCGCCAATCCGGCAGGACGCCATGGGTTGAGAGGAAGGCAGGGCAGCTGCAGCAGCTAGCTGGAACAGGGTGTTGAGCATGGCTTTGAGCGGGGTGTCCCCTAAAAGTACCAACAACCCCAACCACCACGATCATGTTGCAAGGGACACGCACCCTCGGTCTCAATGCCGTCAAATCCATCCTTCTCCCACGTAGTGCCAACCTGGATGGCGGGATTTGGGGGCACGTCTCCTCAGCGCGGCCAAACGTTTGCAGTGGTGGCAGAGGCTGATTCGCTGCAGACTGACAGTTGCAAACAGCGCATCCAAGCCGCGCCGAAGCACGTGTATGCAGAACCCTGCAGGATCCTGATGATACCTGTGCCCCATACGACCATGCAGATATTGCTACATATTGCCAAGGTTGTCCCAATCAAACGCCCACGCGTCTGTGCGCGCACCACGTAATGCGGCGAGAACAGGGCGCCCTCTCGGTGCACGTCGGCGCGCACGAGGGTGGTGCAGCCGCCAACAGAGTCCAGTGGGACAAACGGCTCTTCGCTGTCCTCCAAGTCACTCGGCAGCTTGGTCTCCCCCACAACAGGGCCTGGAGCGAAGTCCATGCGTGTGTGCGCGTTGGTGGGCGGGTACTTGTGTGCGTGTTGCGTGCATGTGTTCATGCGTGTCCTGGCATGTGTACACGCGTGTGTGTGAGCGTGCATATGGTGTATGCGCCTGCGCGCGCGTGCATAATTGTGTGTGTGTGTGTGTGTGTGTGTGTGTGTGTGTGTGTGCGCGCGCGCGAATACCCACGCATTGTGTCTATGCTTTAGAATCGTGCGGCTGTACCGTAATCTAGCTTGCCTACAGAAGTTTGGTGCAATTTTGTAAAGATGCGAAGATGCGCATGAGTCACCACTTTGTATTGCGTGTGCCACATGACAGGGCCACATGATAGGACCTTCTTGGGCCTCCGCAAGTGTCCTACATGTCAGAGCGGGTGGGGGACTGGGCAACAGAGGCATGGCCGCTCACCTGGCACAAATTCGTCTCCTAGCTCGGGGTCAAACGGCAGCCGGGGCAGAACCCATGCATTGAGGTCCCAAATCCGTCCGTCCCACCTGGTCAGGGTTGGGGGCGCGGCCCAGGGTAGCAAGGGGGGTGCTGACTTGGCCACTTGATTCAATTGCCGTTTACAACAGCATGATGACGTCGGGGGGCAGGAGGGGCCTGTTCCTTCCAGCAACCGCATATGTGCAGAGCGCGCAGCGAGCCGCTGCCCCAGGCGCGGCCTATAGCCCAAGCCAGCGGCCATCATTCGCTGCCGCGGCCTCCCTGCCTTTGTGACTTTCGTGCAGGCAGCACTGCGACATGCACCACGCGAGTGCCAGCCAGGCAGGCGGCACCAGGACACTTGCGGTGCTCACCCCTTGGTGATGGTTGTCACGACGTCCTTGCCGCTGTCTATTAGCGTGGAGAGCGTGGTGTTGGGCATTGACGTGATATCAGAATCCACCCACAAAACAGCATCCTCGCCGTCCAACGCAATGCTGACCGCCACGTTTCGTAGCCGCGCGAGGGTGGTGCGGCGCTGCCGCTGGAAGCTGTCTGCGCGGCAGTGAGTTGGGCAGTGAGGGGGCTTCGGGCGGCGGGGACGGCAGGCGGCTGGCAATTGACATGCCTATTACTGCTCCTTGCCCGTGAGGGGAGCTGCAAGATGTGCAACCATAAGAAGACATGCGAGTGCTCGTGCATGACTTTCAGGCCTTTCAGACTCCATTGTTGAAATACAGACCCCTTTCTGCCTGCATAGCATCCCATCCATCGGCCGCCTCAGGAAGCGCACCGTCATGCCGGTCCGCCTGGTCGCTGATCCCCGTGGTTATGGTCTTGTTGATGACCACCAGGCGCGCCATCCCCCTGCCCCGCACCAACCGCTCCAACGAGCGGACCGCCTCCGGGTAGAACTCGGCGTCTGATACGAGCAGCCCCAGGGAGGTGCGGCAGGGGGGATAGTCCTGCGCCGTGGCGGGTGCACACAGGCGCAAGTGAGCGCGGGAACTGCAGGTGAGAATGCACAATTTTACCTGATGTATGTATCCATATCAGGGGCTGCCACCAATATGAAGCTGCCTGTTGGCCGTAGGCAGCTGCCCGTGACCGAGGCGATGGCGGCGTGTGACTGGTGCGGAGTGCATCCCCAGTGCCCGCCAGCGCGCCGGCCCATCAGACCTCAAACCTGCTGACTCAGCATCTCCAGGAAGCCGTCGATCCCCCTGAGAGAAGGCACCTCCTCCTGCTGCTGGGCGAGGCCAAAGCTGTCGTTGTTCAGCGCGATCGTCAAGATCAGCGCTGCCGGCCGGGCGGCGTCCTTGGCAGACGGGCACAAGGGCCCGTGGCGCGCGCCGCCGCCGTGGTGCCAGCAGCGCTCCAGCCTGTGGACCGAGGCGTCTCCTATCATCAGGTCTTGGAAGCACCAGTCGTCCGGCGGCCGCAGCAGCGGCCGCAGCCAGGGGCGGGCGGTGGAGGCGTCTGGCGGGGCGAAGGGGTCCGCCCCGCCATCGTCCTCTGCGAGGCGGCCGGCGAGGGCGGTCGGCCCCGCAGGCGGTTGCAAGTGGGGCGCGGCGGGGATGGCACTCGGAGGTCCAGAGGTGTCACCCGCCCTGTGAGTGCTTCAGGGCAAGAACTAGGTGCGCCGGCTCTAGGCGCGAGACAGCAGCGACAAGCGTACTAGTGGCGGTGACACTGGGCGCTCAGCTCACCTTGCATGCGCGTGACCAGCCACAGTACGAGCGTCAGCGTTATGAAGTGCAGCAGGAGAGACATCACCGACCAGAAAGGCAGCAGGTAGGAAAAGCTGCACACCCGCGTCATGCGCATTCCCATTGGGCGTGGGCCGACGGGCGCCGCCTTGATGGTCCCACTCTCTGGGCTCCATACTTGGCGCGACGTGTTTGACGCCCGATTATTCATGGCAAAGGAAGAGGCTCGCACGCCACTGAGCCGGGTGACACCAACGAATTCTGCAACGCGATCTGGACGCTGCTCGGCTGGCAAAATATCGGGGTGAACGTGGTTGTCAGGCTTTGAAGAGCAGATAATGACCGTGGCTGACCTGCCCCAACGCTGCTGGATGCGTCTGTACCAGGTCTGTGCCGTAGGAGTGACTAACGGCATGCTCCCTCACCCTGGTGCAACCTCCCTGGTGCATACGGTAGTGTCAAGATGCCACCATCTGTAGGCGCAGGGTTGCTGGGGTAGCCCTTTCATATACGCTGCGGTGCGATCAACATTGTAAGAAAATGAATAAGCACCATTGGTTGCTGTAGGCTCATTGGCGGGTCCCAGTGTGATACGGCCTGGTGGACGGTTTGCTGCTGTCGGCGAGAAGCAGTGAGGGTGCTGGGATTGCGCGGTCAGCCTGTCTACGAGCGTGCAAGATGTCGCAGTGGGAGGGGTTGTACAGCCGCCTCAATCGCAGAGCGCCATACCAGTGTGAAAAAGCGCCGAGGCAGGGTTGGGCGCCCCCCTCCGCCGGTAGTCGGGATGGCAATGGCGGGACACAGCTCCCAAAAGCACCATAGCAGCGCGACTCGCCGTCACGCGCAGGTGATTTGTGATACGAGTCCTGGTGGAGCGGGTACGGGCAGGGATGCCCCATTCTCTTTGAGCACTCTGCTGCTTGTCGCACACGTGCCAATTCACAACTGTGAAACGGAGACGGACAATTCCTTGAAGCCTCCGACCGTGGGCACTGAGGCGGTGCTGCCCGCAGTGCCCTGCCTGCAGTGACATCACTTGGGCGGACGCCTAAAGGAGCCGCGGTACCGCCCAAACATCGCCTCACATGAACGCATAATGTCAATCTACTTGTGGCACGGGATCTCCGCGCCGCTGGAGGGCACTGCGTGTCTGTGCCTGCTGGCGTCCTTGAACAGCGAGTTCAATCGCCCCAATAGCTTGCTGTCCGCCACGGATCTGCAGTCGCCAGCGGCCCCCTTCATCGCATGCTCATACTTCCACCTACGGCTCTTCATACGCTCTCTTGAAGCGCTGATCGGGCCCGCCGCATTCTTCGCCCCTCCCAGTCGCAGGCGCACACTACAGTACGAAGAAATCGGAGACGTCTCCCTTGTGTCTCCCTTGACAGTGACGGCACTGGCCCAGGTGAGGGGTGGGCCTGCAGCCCCAGAGGACGAGCTGTCGCCAACGGGGCGCTGCAGCGCGCTTGCCCGTTCCGCGCCATGGCCGTGTGCGCGCTGGGTTGATTGCAAGCTGCAATATGCACAGCTTGCAAATTGCACGAGACGCTGGGCAACTGCTGCATCACTCGCACTGCCGACCGACTTTCTGCGCGCGCTCATGAGCGCTCTCTTGCTCGCTCACACCCCCTCTCTCAACCCAGTACGCCTTCGCCTCTTCTGTCGTCCATCCCCTCAAAACCAGGATCCAGCGGCGGCCGACGCGCGGCGCCTTAACGCCGCGCGCCTCGCGCCTGCCACGGTCGAGCGGCCGCCACAGTGCAGCCCGCGCCGCCCACCCCAGCCACGCCCGCCCGGCCCCGCCGCGCCCCAGGAGCGGCCGCGCGCGCGGCCGCCCCTTGCCGCGCGCCCCAGCTTTTCCGAAGGGCGCGCGGCGCGGCGGGCGCTGAGCCCCCGCTATTGCCCCCCACGTCGCCCTCGCGCCGGCCCGCGCGGCCCAGGAGCCCAACTGTAGGGTGGTATTGCACCCAGGCAGAAGCCTGGTGGTACCGGCAGAGACGAATGCTTTGCCGTTGAGCGGCTGAGCGCCACGGAATGTGGTCCCCGCGCGGGCAAGTGGCCGCGCCTCTCTGCGGCCCGCGCCGTCGTTACGGGCCATCGCTCGCGGCGGCGCGCGAGCCGAAGTGCCCCGCGCGCGCTGCACTGAGGTCAGTGCCCGCGCGCGGGGCAGGCTGTTCCGGGGAGCACCCCAGGCGCGCTGCCTTGTAGGCAGTGAGTCGCCAGGGCCCCGAGGCCGGGGGCGTCCGCAGAGCCGGCCCTGATGGGGCTTTGTAGGCGAGGCGGCCCAATGGGGTGCCACTGCCGGCCCCGCGCGGGCGTCCTGCTACCTGGGTGCGGGGCTTGCGCTCGCGCACGCTGCGTTGTACGCCGACGCGCGCGCTCGCGCGTCC